TTTTTAAATTTTTTATTAAGAGGTTTTATTTTAGCTAAAACTGGACCAACAACCCAGCCAAGATTCTCCATCTATCCCTTTCAAAAGGCAACCTGGACATCTCCTAAATTCATTCTAATAGAGAAAAAAACCTGAAAAAGTAGGTAAAGTCTTTAAAATAAAATAATGAATCATTGTGTTAATGCTCACCTTTTTAAATAACAAAGCACCTGTTGCTATGTAAATTTGGGTTATTTTCCTCTAAATCTCCTCAAAGAAGATGGGCCGTCCCACAGTTGAAAGAAAACAAACCCCAGAGAGATAAAGTAACTAGTCCCAAAGTCCAACACCCTCTGCAAAATGGGCTGAACCTGGGATTGGCTTGTTCTTTCCCTATATTCTATCACTAAGAAAATAGTCTTCCCATGAAAAAGTACTAGAATTTTGTTTAAAATACACTCCTTATAAAAGAATTTTCTGCCAAAACTTTATGAGGCTCTATGGCTGTATGAAAACAATAACATTCAGTGGATAAGTGAATTTGTAGCTTCTAGATTGATATACTTTAAAAATATACTGAAAAAACAATAATGAAAATTGAATGCCACATAAGAAATACATAGGCAGAAGAAATAAAACATTATTTTAAAACTAGGTCTTTTGTTTCCTGTTTAATATTATGATCTGTTGATATCTGCAAAGATATATCTTAATTTTTAGAACTGGCCACAATCTCCTAAAAGTAGAATTTAGGTATAAATTAGAAACAAAACAAGATTTACTCTTAAGAAAAAAATCTTGGCAAGAAAAAAAAGAATACCCTTAACAAACTATGAAAACGAAAAGTCAACTTTATTATTTAAGAACCAAGTTCTTAAAATGAAATGCAACTTTTACCTATGGATGAGCAATAATTACCAAATATAACACCAAGTGTTGGTAAAGAAACTATCTCTCATATTCACTATTACAACAACTTTTAAAAAAGATAATTTTTCAATGTCTATCTAAATTGAAATATATATTCCCTTTGCTTTATTTATTTATTTATTTTATTGGTTTCGGAGAGGAAGGGAGAAGGAGAGAGAGATAGAAACATCAATGATGAGAGAGAATCTTTGATCGGCTGCCTCCTGCACGCTCCGCATTGGGAATCAAACCCACAACCCAGGCATGTGCTCTGACCACTGAGCCACTCCAGCTGGGCATATACCTAGTACTCTTACTGTTGCTGTTATTTATAGAGAATGAAATTATGTGATTAGGTTTTTCATTATAACCTGACATTGTCACCATGGACAGCTGCCAGATGTACAGAGAGACAAAGTCAAGGCTTTCCGTTTATGTTAGCCGTGTAGTAAATGACTTTGTGAAAGAGGACTCATTGACCCAAGATCAGCAGAACAAGGATTAATTGTCTAGGGCTTAATGAACTGTTTTAATTGTGGTTAATGTTCTCCTTTCTAACAGACATATGAGAAACCCATTCCTTTGTTGTCTAACTTTAACCCTCAACTTAAAAGGCTATACGTGTACTAGGTGGAATAAAAAAACTCTTTAAATAGTATTTATGTTGACACCTTAGACTTTAAAAATTCCTATAAAAATCCCAAAATAACTTATAAACTAAATATACAACTATTTCTGAAAAATTAATATTTCCTGCACTTCTTTCAGCCTCACTATGCTATGCTTATCGACTCAGAGCATATGTAATGTTGTCATCATAAAGTATTGACAATGATAGCAAATTCTTGGCCTTGAAGTTTCAAAAGTCAAGTTCAAGGATTAGTCCTTACTTGGAAGAATTGAAAGAATATACCATCTTTCAGAGTCCTGGGCCAGATCTGAATTCAAAGAGATTGTGTGCCCTGCCCTCCCCACCCTGCACCCTGATCCCAAGGCAATGTCCCAGAACTAATAAGGGTCCCTGAACCTAGCAGGGTGCAGGATCAGAAGAAATGCCCACATGGAGTGTCTAGGCAAAAGATTCAAAGACAGTCTTATAGGTTCCCATTATCTCCACCGTGTGTAACCCAACAGGTGAGCTTCTCTCACTTCAGATGGGAAGAATGGAATACTTCCTGAGAGTATAAGAGGAGCTTAAAATTTGCCACAAATGAGGACTCTGGGATGAGGGACATGCATGAACAAGCTACATGGAGAGAGGACACATGGATGAGGAGAAGAAAGGGCAAAGCACATCTCAGCAGCTGGCAGCAGAGGCAGGTGACAACAGAGGACCAGATTTCTCACCCCCCAAGCTTCACCACCACTCCCTGCCCAACACATTTCCAAGGAGAAGCTTGAGTTTCTTCACAGACTAGAAGGATATTTGTGAAAGAAGCCAAATTCAACTATGAATCATAAAAGAAGCTACTACTTGCACTAAACCCATAGTCAGAGATTATAGCCAATTAACTTAATTAGTTTCCCTTTATGTTTTGCATTGATCTCCCAACACCTAGTGACATGTTCAACATATAGTGTGTACTCTGTAACTATTTAACACAAGGCATTGGTTCAGTTGGTTGTATGTTTGTACAACGATCTGAGGACATATCTCTCTCTTCCCACACTCCAGTGAGCCACACGTGGCTGTAGAGGACATGAAATGTGGCTAGGCTGAATTGAGCTGTGCTGTGTAATACACACGTGAAATTTTGAGGACTTAGCATAATAACAAGAAAGTAAAAATCACATTGATATTTCTGTAATTATTGCACATTGATGGTATTTTAGACCTATTGAGTTAAATAAAAATAGATTATTAAACTGCATTTTACTTGTTTCTTTTTACTTTTAAAAATGCGCCTACTAGGAAATTAAAATTTTCCAATGTGACTCACATTTTATTTCTATTGGACAATACGGCTCTCTATGCTCATTCATGTTGATCTCATTTACTTTTACCAAAGTAATCACCATCACTGCTTAATTTTTTCCATGTGGAAAATAATCAAAATTAGAATTTATTTTTTCCATTTGGACACTCAGTGATTATATGTCTAGCATTTCCTGACAGGGTGTACTGAAAATTACATAGAAAAAAAAAAGAGATGTCTTACATCTCATTTCCTGATAATTGGGAATGATCAGTCAGTCTGTAATTTGTACAAAAAAGGAACAGATTTTCTTTTTAAAGTAATTAATACCTCTGATATTTACTTTAAAATGCTTGATGACTAATTGCATATAATTAAGAAATTTTCACAACTGAAATAAGCATCAAAACAATAAGAAAAACATTCTGATTTTTCAAATTTCATTACATTTATTTATCTAGTTCATAATTTTATATATGTAGTGATATAAAAATAGAACAATTTTATTTACGAAGGGGCTATTTATTAAAGTATTAGGGAACAACAGGGACAATGCATTAATTGAGGGCCAATATAACACAGAGATGCTACACTTTAGTCCTGACGTTGGCCATTAACAGAGGAACTGTGACCTTCATTTTGACCAGTGTCAACTGGATGTCTCACAGGCTTCTCAGACTAGTATATCCAATAAAGTATCCAACAGTATCACATGCTATCCAGACAAAGTCACAATGTCAAGGACCCGTTTCTTTACTTTTAAAATGAAGATAAGCTAGGTGCTGCTAAGGCTGACTTGGGTGATGCTAGGGGTGAGGAAGAGAAAGTAGATATAATAAATCTTGAAGAAGCTGGACAAGAGGATAATAAGGTGAAAGTAGCTAAAAATAGGATCTTCTATTCTTTTGTTTTTTTTTAAAAATTATTAAGTTAAGCATGCATTGTGTTAAACATTGGGGATAGAAAAGTGAAGGAAACAATTTTTGTCTGGTGGGGAAGATAGGTAATACATTATAATGAATTTTAAAAGTTACGATAGCCCAGCAGGAGTGGCTCAGTGGTTTAGTGTCAACCTATGAACCAGGAGGTCACGGTTCCATTCCTGTCAGGGCACATGCCTTGGTTGCGGGCTCCATCAGTGGGGTGCGTGCAGGAGGCAGCCAATCAATGATTCTCTCTCATCATTGATGTTTCTCTCTCCCTCTCCCTTCCTCTCTGAAACCAATATATATTGGTTGCAAAATAGATTTGTTGCAAGATAGATTTGTTGCAAGGTTCGCAGAACATTAGAGAACATACAGAATCCTTTCGTTTATTAAAGAGCATTTCTTGAGTCCTCACTACATTGTGCGAGAAGCATTTTAGTGAAGGTGCTGCTCAGGTAGAAATCCAGGTAGCAAGGATGGAGCTACTCGGGGTGTTCAGAAAACGCCAGTTATATAGTTAACTGTTACCTGAGCAAAAAATTAAAGTTGGCCACGGAAGAGGACTCTAGAGTCTAGAAAGAAATGCAGTGGACAGATCAGAAAGGGCTTGGGCTCTTTGCTATGACACCCCAAGTTGTTTTTGGTGGAATCGCAAGGGAAATGCAGCATCAATTTTATTAAAATTATCTGTAGTACAAAACCACGCGCTTTTCATCATTAAACTATGGATGCATTGTGTAGTTGATGCAATAGCATATTCATTAGTGAGATATGACGAAACGAAATCCCACAGCTGGGCAGGGAGACAGTGTTGGCTCTCTTCTCTGAAGACGCTGGAGTTCATGGACCTCCGCTCTCAGAGGACCTGCGGCGAGACACCTGGAGAACACGGAACGTTTCAAGCTGCCAGAGAAGCTGAGAGGTAAGTTCACAGACTGGGGAGAGGCTGCAATTCAGGGATCCAGGAGCCTGTGCCCTGCTCCGCTCCCGATTCCCCAAACACCCCCAACCTGGCGCCTTTTCCCTCAGCAGACAGCGCTTCCAGCTCAGGAACCGCCCTTTTAACTTCAGGCGTCTAGTTGCCAGGGCAACCCTCTTCCGCCCGCGCGTCTGCGGCCTCCCTGCTACTGGCTGAGAGGGCGTAACGTGCGTCTGACGTCATTGCGCGGCGCCGCCGGATCCGGAGACACCCCTCGAAGCCCTGTTCTCCGCACGCTCGGGCAGCGGGCCGCGGAAACCGTGGCTGTTGGCCGAGCGGGCGCCGGTCCAAAGCCCCATCCGGGGCGGCGGCTGGTGTGCGGGTCGCAGCGGGAGAGACGCGCGGTAGGAACGAGTCCCCGGAGCCGGGTGCGGGGATCCGCGACGCCGTCCGTGCTCTCTGGGCCTAACCGGCTTCCTCGCTGGCCTGTTGCTAGGGCCGCCGGGCCCCGTTGCGAAGGACCCTGGTGACGCCGAGAGCCTGGAGCGCGCCCTAACTCTTCCGGGTCGGACTTGAGCCCATAATAGCCTTCGTTCGTCTTAATTGAATGCTGCCTTTCCCTTCACCCTCCTTTAAAAAAATCTGTTTTTCTCCATCTTCATCCCTCCCCCCCCCCACCCCTCCCCTCTTCCTCGCCCGCTTCCCCCCCCTCCCCCCGCCACACACACACACCCCTTCATTTTCCAACTTGGACAACGCCCTGGCCCCGATTTGGTCTTAGGTACTAATAGATGTGTGGTATTGGAGGAGGAGAGGCCAAGACATTGGAAAGCGAATTTTAAGACCCTTAATACTGGCTCTTTGGTTTACCTTATGGTAAAAGGGGGTTGAGAAAGATGGATATTGGGCTCTGTCGCTGCGCCGTGGGATTTAAGGAACCTCAGAGATGGAACATGGCGTCTTCTTTAGTTGGGGTGCCTATTACACTTTTGGAACTTTATGAACATTAGGGAATAGGAAATAACGTGGCGTCCTTCCCTGAGAATTTAGCAAGCAGTTTTCGTGCAGTGGTCTCAGAGCGGGGTGTCGAAAAAAGTGCAGGTAGAGAAAGAGATAGGATGTATGAGCTAAACAGTGGGGGGAAAGTGTGCTTTCCTTGCATGGACACAGGTGCCTGCAGCCTCTGTGAATTACCTGCAGAGCTAAGGAAACCTAAGGGAACAGTGAGGGTCCTCCAGTGGAGCCCTACTTCTTTGTTCTCTGGTATTGTGACATAGTTTGGGTGTTCTGGTTAAGTGGATTTGTGGGTTCTAGAATCTATTTAGAATCTTTATATTGTTTTATAAAAGAACGGAGATCTTTTAAAAAATATATTTTTTATTGATTTTTTACAGAGAGGAAGGGAGAAGGATAGAGAAACATCGATCAGCTGCCTCCCGCACACCCCCCCACTGGGTATGTGCTCGAAACCAAGGTACATGCCCTTGACCGGAATCAAACCCGGGATCCTTGAGTCTGCAGGCCGAGGCTCTATCCACTGAGCCAAACCGGCCAGGGCAAGAACGGAGATCTTGTACCATTTATAAAACTAAGCAATTCTTATATTTTTCACTTCCTTCCAGTATTAACACCTTTACACCACCCTCTTCATGTTACTTAATGAAAAAGCACTCAAAAGGGTGGTTGAGCATAAGATGAATGAAGCATAATTGGAGAGTCATGCAAGGGAGAGGAGGAGTAATCAAGTAGAAATAGGAAGGAACTTGAGATTGAAGTTCGGCCTAGAAATATACTAGCAGGCAGTTGGGTATATGAATCTGGATGTGTGTGGTGGAGGATTCCTCTGTAGAGATTTAAATTTAGAAATCATTTGGTGAATCAGGAAATCATGGGCTATGAACTAGACCTCTTTCATTGACAGAAAAGAAGGAAATACGGAAGAGGGAGAGGTGAACCACCCTGTGCTGGTGAGCAGCTTGATATCTGATCATATTTATTCAACAACAGCCTTGATCAGCTTGATTTGATTCTCCCTTTTAGTAGGTTAGGGAACCAAGCTGAGGGAGGTTAAATACTCTGCCTGAATTCATAAACCTCATAATCGGTAGAGATGAGATGCAAACCGAGATCTGAGCCCAGCGCTCTTTCTACCTCGTTACACCATGCTGAACACATCTGTAGGGCTGAGTGTAGGAAGCAAAGGAAAAAGAAGCAGCAACCATCTAAATTTTTCCGCCCGATGGACCGGAAAACTGGTGGTACCTTGAATTAACAAGGGATTTATAAATGTGTGTGGTAACCTCTGGTTTGGTTATTTTCAGTCTAAGGAGCTTGTGGTACCTTGAGTAGGAGAGTTCCTTACATCATTGGAAAAGTAGGACTTGATGTTCAGGTGTTGACTTTGGAACTTTAGAAATTTAGAAACCAGAGAAGATGGAGACCGTAGGGGAGGTGCCAACCACTCCTTTCAAAAACCTAGTCCATGTTTTCTACATATAACTAGAAGATTGTGATTGAGTATCTAACAATGTATTCTGATAATTTGAATGAAAAAAATGTTTGCTTTTATACATTATGTTTTATAGCTTGTTTTTAATTTGCTGTTACTGATATTATTGAAATTGATATAATATTTTTCTCATTAGTCTTTCCAGGTATTTTGCTTCTTACCATAAGTTTTCTGTATGTCTTTTACTGTATTTTCTACTCTATTCTGGTTTAGTCTTTATATTGTTAGTGACTTTCCCTCCTTAAAAATTTGTGACATCAAGTTTCCTGTAACTACAGGAGTGACGGGAAGCAATGCAGAAATCAGAGTGCCATGGAGACACACAGTTGAGAACCAGAGTGAGAGGTACCCAGCATTGCTTTTTAAAGGAAGAGGTGAACTTTATATTAATGACACCTCTATAGTTTTCACCTTTCTTTTTTTTCTGGGTTTTTTTTCTAGGTAATGATGATCAAAGGACATCATCGAGTCCACAGAGAAAGCCTAGGACTACAGTTCAACGAAGCAAATCCTCATCCTCATCGTCAGCCAGTTCTCCAGATGCTGCAATAAAAGTCCATCCTCGACCAAGTGATAAACTTAACCCTAAAACAATTAACCCGGTAAGTACAAAAGAGATTCCTGACTCAGTTTTTCTAAGTAGTATGTACTTAGCACACTATTGAACCATTTGAATTCTGTCTTAAGTCTCTTTTGTTAGTTTTGAGGTAGTGCTGAAGGAAGGGCATATGATAATGATGGTGAAGAATGGAGAGGATGTGGGAGTGGAGGTGAGAAGGTGTACAGTTGTTATTAACCAGTTTTGGTCTCTTCTGTCTCATTCGTGGATGAGTTTTTAGAATATAAAATAAATTGCTTTATTTTTTATTTGCTGTGGTTATTTGACTTCCTAATACCAATGAATAAACGTGAACTTAATTGCCACAGGATGAATTATATGCTTCCATAGTTTCGTAAAGGTCTCTAGCCATTTTTCTGTGGTCTATAAATTTGCTCCACCAGAAATCCTAACTATAATACTAGCCTCCTTTTGCCTTTTCACAGCAATTTAACAAACATGAGATTTAGGCACATAAAAGTACATAATTGTGTATAGATCAGTGAATTATCCAAAAGTGAACACACCTGTGCAACACCCCCAGGTGTTTGGCCCAACCTTGCATAGGGTATTCTGATAGTGGTTTCAGCCCTTGAAAGGGATTATGAGGATAGCTGATACTCTGATTTTGACAGCAGGCAAAACATAGCAAATACTTAAGCAAGGATCTAATGAAATATCCAAGGGCACAGGAAATTACTGACTTAGAAAAGAAAAACAAAAAGTAGTTTGAGTATCTGTGTTCCTTTGCTTCTTTCTGTAACCTACACAGTGGCCAGGAAATTGAAACCCTGAAGAATGCTCTGATATCTTCTTGCTGTTGCTTCCTTTTCCCCATATTTAATTGAGGGAATTTGCAGCCTTAATTTTTTTCCCAGTGCAGGCAACACTTTTCCAGTTAATTTCTTTATCTGATATGATTCTTACTTGAAAACAATTTTTAAAACATATTTTTCTTAGCAGGAATTATAACTTGATGAATTGATATGATTCTTACTTGAAAACAATTTTTAAAACATATTATGGATTGAGCTTTGCAAATGAATCTTTTATTATGACATTTTATTTTAATGAAATTTCATGTATGTATTTTTACTCAAAACGTTTTACTAGAGGGAAGAGGACTAATTCTAAACTTAAGCATATATATTTCTGAAGTACTGCATATGATTAAAAATGTTTTTAGCTATTTATTTGTAATAAGTTTCTATTTTGTAATTTAAATAACTGTTTCTTTTGATTATAATGAAAGTACCATATTGTAAATTATTTACTTTTGGTGCCTTTAAGTCTCTGATCAATTATATTGAAACTATTTTGCTGTGATTGTTTTAACTGTTATGATTGATCATCTCTTAAATTGCCTTTGAGAGTAGGTCCAGAATTAATCTATTCTTAAGATAATAATATAGCAAAACTGAAAGTAGTGAAGTTATATATCTAAGCATACATATATGGGCCTATGTTTGTGAGAGTCTCAGTCTCCAGCTCTAACACGTGACCCTGTCCAATGGAAGCCTTTAATTTTTATGGAGACAAAGCCCGTTTGGGAAATGACAAGTTCTCTGACCATCCAGACCAGGTATAAGTAGCTGGAGGACAAGTAGGAAATGTCCTGAGGGCTAAAAACAAATATACTTTCCCTCACTTAACACCTTCTCCATTTGCTTCTCACTTTAGACAGTTACAGTAGGGAGGGGATGGAAAGATGTTATCTTATTATATTTATGATATTTATATTTGTCTATGTTTTATTTATTATATGTATGGTTTTAGGCATCTTCATGCCTTCTGAAACAAGTTAGTTGTGAAAGAAAATATAGAAACTGTTTGTGTGTTCAGTCCCGAAAGAACTGATAAATTTTCTCAATTGTGCTGAGTAGAATGATGCACTGGAAAGTTGGAAGTGGCTTGAAAGTCAGGGTGTTCGTTTGCCTCTGACCTGAGCAGGATTAAAATTGATTAGATATCACAAAGTGGAGGTGATCATAATATTTATTGTGTGTGTGTGTCACATTGTATTTCAGTTTGGTGAACAGTCACGAGCCCCTTCTGCATTTGCAGCTGTTTACTCTAAAGGTGGTATTCCTTGCAGGTAAAATCAATACAAGTTATAACTCACCATGTTATTCAAAATAATTGAGTAAGATCAATATGGTATTCACTTTAAATTTATTGAAAGTTTTATTTACAAGGGAGGTTGAAATAAAGGTGACTTATACTTTTGGGCTGTTGGATTGGTATCCTGGGACATTGTTGAAGAAAATAATTTTAATTCCAAAATAGCATTACCCATAGATATAATAGGTTTGAAGTCATGGTTTCCTACATGTTATAAAATAATGCTAATGTAGTTATATTCCAAAAAGAATATGTATGTGTTAGATCAGCGGTTCTCAACCTGTGGGTCGCGACCCCTTCGGGGGTCGAACAACCCTTTCACAGGGGTCGCCTAAGACCATCGGAAAACACATATATAATTACATATTGTTTTTGTGATTAATCACTATGCTTTAATTATGTTCAATTTGTAACAATGAAATTGGGGGTCACCACAACATGAGGAACTGTATTAAAGGGTTGCAGCATTAGGAAGAGAACCAGCGGCATGAGAACCACTGTGTTAGATAATCACTGCTTATTATATAACTGCTAGAGGCCCAGTGCATGAATTCATGCCCAGGTGGGGTCGGGCTGGACTGGCGGCGGGGAGGGGCTGCAGGTGGTTGGCCGGCCCCGCTCCCTGGTCCTGGTCAAACTCCTGGTTAAAATCCCGGTAGAGGGGCAATTTGCATATTAGGCTTTTATATATATAGATATTGTTCTTGTTACATTCACTGGTTTTATATTTTAGGTTGATCCATGGTTCAGTAAAACACAGATTACAGTGGGACTCTCCTCCTGAAAATCTTTCCTTTGATCCTCTTCTTATTACTTTAGCCGAGGTAAATCAATACTCCATCTCCTGAGTGTTTATGGGGAAAATCTCTTACAGTTGCAATAAATGTTATTTTGTAACTCATCAGTAAATCTCATTCTTTACTTTTGAAATCAGAGCGAGACAATAGGAATTAAAATACTACACTCTCTTAGGAACTAAATATAATTGGCGTGTGATTATTAGAAACTAATTAATTAGCTTTATAAACATGAGATTAGTCTACACAGGGATTTGTAGGTAAGTGGTTGAAATATTCATACTTAAAGTATAAAAGTACTTAAAATCATAACGTGGAGGAAGATTTTTGTTGAACTAGTCAAATTAAGAGAACATCACTGGTTTAAAAATAGCTACGTAAGATAACAATGAATAGTTGGTCTCTCTGTACAGCCAGTCCTATTTAACACTCTATTTCTTAGGAAACTCATATTAACTACTTAATGTTATTTTGTAGAATTCTCCAGGATTTTGCCTACTTGTACATCCTAAGTAACACACCATGGAGATGTTTTTATAGATTTTTTTAAAAAAAACTTCAGATAGGTTCCTTAATATTATTTAACATCTGTGTCAGGAAAACAAATTGTAAAATCATGGTAACGGGTGCATTCATAAAGTGGTATTTATAAACACACATTGTAGACTAACTCACTGCTTTCAGGCGGTGTTGAGGAGTTTGTGCAAAATGCATTTAGAGTCCTAGTCAGTTTTTCTCTTCCTTTTCCTCTTTATTTCTTTTTGTTTATCTTTCCTCTCCCTCCCCCTTTTCTCCCTGCCTTTCTTTCCTTTTTTAAAATTACCGATATATTTTTTGCCTCTCCTTTCTTTCCTTATTTTTCATTATTTTTCTATTTTTCTTATTACTTTTCTTTTCCCCGCTCCCTCCCTCCCTCTCTCCCTCCCTTCCTCTCTTCTTTACTCCCTCCTTCTCTCCCTTCCTTTCTTCCTTCTTCCTTCCTGTAGATAGGATCCTTTCTGTCTTATATATGTCTTTTATTCCACAATTTATCTGTTTAATTAAAAATGTAATTACTGAAATTATATATCATGATTAGGAAAACAATAATAAACTTGATTTTCATTTACACGAGTAAGGATTCAGTTTTTCTTATTAGCATAAATCATGTGGGTTTTTTGTTTGTTTTGTCTTTGGCAGGGTCTGAGAGAGACTAAACATCCATACACCTTTGTTTCAAAGGAGGGTTTTAGAGAATTACTCTTGGTCCGAGATGCTCCTGAAAAAGCTGTGCCTTTGCTTCCTAGACTGAGTCCTGTGCTAAAGGCGGCTCTGGTATGTGCTTTATTCTTTGGACTTTCTCTGGTACATTTAAGATATTTTATGTCTTCCAAATTATATGCACATTAGCTTTTTACCTGTGATTTTGATGTGTATGCAGAATTAGGTCACTGTTCTTCAGGGCCAGATGATTACTTACTTGCAAACACTGTTAAGAGAATGTACTAAAAATAAAATGGGACATTTTGAGTAATTAGAGAAAGTAATGAACCTCAAAGCAGTCTTTCTGCAGGATGCGATATATCTTAGTTAATGTTTCAGTCAAGCTGAAAATTTGTGTGTTGCTTCTACATATCCTGCATTAAAGGCTATTCTTAAAATTCTTGGTTTGGTTGATTATCATCTAATTTGAATATTCACTCTCTTTTTTCTCCCCCGGCTTCTCCTTTCTCCTAACATCTCCTTCCTTTTTCTCTTCTTTCCCTTCCTATCCCAATACTCCTGACCAACTAACGCTCCACAGGCCCATTCGGATGATGAAGTGTTTGAAAGAGGACTGAATGCTCTCGTGCAGTTAAGTGTCGTCGTTGGTCCTTCTCTGAATGACCACCTGAAACATCTGCTTACCAGTGTGAGTACTGAAAAGATTAGAGAGCAGCTGTGAGTGTGTATCATGCACTATCCGTATCTCTTCATAATGTAATGGTGTCAAATGACTCAAAACCTCAACAAAAAAAGAAAACCAAAAACTCATCATCCTAACCAAAGTCATTGTAGTGGTTCATAAAACATTGTACTAAGGAGAGTGTACTCTAAACATTTTCAGTGGAAAGCACCCACATGAGCAGAATTTAGGGTTGCAGTGCACCCAAATTAATGAGCAATGTAATGGGATCATGCCCGTGTTGATTAGCTAAGAAGTACTAGTATAAGCAGAGTTTATCCACCCTCTTGTGTAATTATATGTTGCCAAAGCTGTATTTGTTATTTTGTTTTGTCAGCATTTTGGTGAGTCTCGCATTCAGGATGAGACGTTTTCCTGTTGCATGTAGTTTAATTATCACAGTTACACACTGGGACACGGCAGTTCAGGAAGTCCCAAGACCACCCTTAGGTTGAACAGTTTTCAGACAGGACTCATGTTGCTCAGAAAGTCCGTTATTCGCTGTTAGTTTATTACTGAGAGGACACAGATTGACATCCACAAAGGGAGGAGCCGAGAAGAGCAGGATCCGGGCTAGGCTCGGTGGAGCTTCCTCTCAGTGGAGTCGCGCACACTGTGCTGACTGTCTCAGCAAGGGCGAGTGGCAGCGCGCATGGAGTATGCCAGCTGGGGACGCTCCCCTGAGCCTTGGTGTCCAGGGTTCTCACGGGGGTCTGTCCACAGGCATGATGGACTCCCTGCATGGTTGACCTTAGTCTCCAGTCTCTCCCTAAGTTGAGCTGACACCTCGTGGCCTACGGTCCCCACGCAGATCACATTGCAGGCCCAGACTATCTGATGTGATAGTCTATGCCATCGTCTTACCTGGCAGGACATTCCAAGGGCTTAGGGGTTACCATTCAGGAGCCAGGGCAAGGCCAAACCTTTCCTTAGGCAGGTAGTCCTTTACTGCATGCACTGATACAGAGATTCGAGTCCTGTCCGGGATAACCCACAGCTAGGATGTCTGTGTGCATCTCTCTAGTTCAGAGCTGAGGCATGCATGTGGATTATAGTTCCATTGTTTTTCCTTGGACCCACCTACCTGGGAGATCCTAGAACGCAGGTAAAATCAATACAGGTTAAAACTCAACATGTTATTCAAAATAATTGAGTAAAATCAATACAGTAGTCAATTGAAATGTATTGAAAGTTTTATTTACTGGGGAGGTTGAAATAAAGGGTTCAGGCTCTGCATGAGTACTGCAGGCATTGGGGGGAGCACAGTTACAGGTTTGCATTGTGTGATTTCCCTCTTTGCTCTGTGATTCTCTCCTCTCTCACCTGGACTCTCCCCTGCAGTCAGTTCCACCTGCAGTCAGAGGCCCATTCTGGACACACCTCGGGACACGTGCTCTTGTGGTTTCTAGTCTGACTCCCCTCTCACTGTTAGAGTGAGTCATGTAGATGCTCTCTTTGTTGTCTCTTCCCGTTCTTACTATTGGAAGCACACGTGTTTAGAGGCTTAGCTTTTCATCATAGTTCTCCAAATGCTCTTGCAAATTACCAAACGGAAAAATATGCAATTTCATAGAAAACTTACTCTGGATACCACATTGTAGCATATTTTGTAGGATTGGTATTATTTGAAATAATTAAATGAATTATTTATTGCCCCAGCAAATAGAGTGGCATCTATTTCAATGATATTTCCTGAAAGAAGCCTAAAACAAGTGGTGTTTGTACTTATATAATAAAGACTCAGTGACATTATTTCTAATTAGCCTACTTTTTAGTGAAGCTTTACTTATGCTTAAGATGAATGTTACTGCTTTTTAAAATCATTTCATTCCCCCAATCTTATTTTTAAAGCTATTCAAGAGACTAAGGGATAAGAAGTTCAAAGAGCCGATCACGAATGCATTGCAGAAGCTGGAGCAGCATGGTGGAAGTGTGAGTAGGACAATCTTCCTTCAGTCCTGATCGTTTCTTACCTTTAGTCATATTGCATATTTGACTGTATAATGTATTACCTCTTCATTGGCAAGTAACCATGTGGAGCTGATAGGACTATCTCCATGTGAGGGCCCTGAGTCTCTGTGTTCCTGGGTCACAGGTTCTGAGCACTAGGATTCCGCCCTGGGTTGTATGAACACAAGGCCGTGTGGTTCCGCTATGCTTACTGAGTGGCACTCGTGTGGGGAAGCGCTTGTTTTCTTTATTTGGGATGTTTTTGCTTTGACTATTTAAAAGTTCATAAAACAGAAGGATTAATGTAGAAAGCTCATTGAAGAAAGAGTACTTTTCCTTTCATTTGCCATCTTTTCTGTCTAAAAAATTTATAATTTTCCCATAATCAAAGATTGAAATGAGATTTCCAGATGGCTTTGATATTATGTCTGCAAGCACACACTTGCTGGAACGTGAGCACGTGTGTGTACAGCACACAGGGTTGACTCAGTTAATTATTTTAAATGGCAAGAAGGTGCGGAAATGTAGGGGATTTCATTATCTGTGTGGTATCAAATAAGTAGGTTGAGTTTTCATCTTTTGAAAGAAATGTTCAGATAATCTAATCTTGGAAATATTTCCATAAAGCAATGTTCCCATCTTGATTTGGAGCTTACATTTAATCAGAGCTTAATGAATAGAGTTGCATGTGATTATCTTAACATGGCACAACTTAGTTTCATTCTAGGTACATTCAAAAGGAATTAATTATAAAGAAATTTGTATGATCATATAGTTTAAAATGGCAGATGTTTTAGTTTAACTTTGCCTAAATTACTCAATTTGACCAATTTCAGTGTCTTTTTAAATTGAAGATATTCTTTGCATGATGAATGCCTCGAATAAAGTTTGTGAGGAGGAAGTAATTCCCAAGGCTTTCTTTGTTGTATGTGGGTCCCAGGCAGAGGATTAGCATTCAGACCTCTTGTGGTGATGCACAAAACCATCCCCTAGCCAACCCTGTGTCCGTCCTCAGCAGAAAAGAAATTCATATTGCTTGCAAATGTGTTTGCTGCTCTGAGAACTGGAATGGAAAATGAATTTCTTGTAAACAGATGCTTCTCAATTTGACCAATTTCAGTGTCTTTTTAAATTGAAGATATTCTTTGCATGATGAATGCCTCGAATAAAGTTTGTGAGGAGGAAGTAATTCCCAAGGCTTTCTTTGTTGTATGTGGGTCCCAGGCAGAGGATTAGCATTCAGACCTCTTGTGGTGATGCACAAAACCATCCCCTAGCCAACCCTGTGTCCGTCCTCAGCAGAAAAGAAATTCATATTGCTTGCAACTGAACCAAGCCGGCTAGGGCAAGAAAATGAATTTCTTGTAAACAGATGCTTACTAATGATGGCACAGCTTTTCAGTCTGAAACTGCGCAGGTGGTTTTCACACATCCTGTGGACTGGTGTGGGGAAGGGGCAAATAGAAAGGGCAGGCCCAGTAAGTTAGGATGTGCCTGCGGAGGAGGGGAGAGTCTGTGCATAAAGTTTAGAAATAGCACAGTGAGATTTGGAGGGGGAGCACCTGGGTGTAATTGACCAATCCAGGGTCTCAGAGATAGCTAGCAAGGGAGGAACTCTTTTGCTACTCAGTCTCATTGTTTTGAATCATGCTAATCCAGAATAAACAAAGATTTTGAAGTCATAATATCTTACATAATTTAATAGTAATTGATGTATTTGCAATGTCCTTTTACAATTCCATCAATTATTACATAGCCTATTATCACATATCAGAGAGTTTCCCTTGGCTTGATAACTGTTGTACTTGCTTTGGATACTTCCTAGTTCTTCATGAAAATAATGGATGTTCTTCTTTCCCTTCTAAAATGTAAAGGTTTATTTTTCTTTCTCTTTATTTAAATATTTAGAGATGAGTCTTTAAAAAAAGAATTTTCTCAGTGTGGTAGTTTCTCACTTCTTAGGGCCTGCCAATATCACATAATGGAAAGACTCAACTTCTGGGGAAACAAAAATATCAGCTACAGATAGTCACAGTGTCATTTTCTTATAACTAATCCATTTACAACCCACCTTGAATTGAGCTTGGTTCATTCTGAGCTTGATTTGTGTTTTTTCTAGTTGATATGCACATTTGTCTTAGGTATATACTACACACACACACACACACCTATCTTTATTGAATATGTGGGAACATATTCATGCGGGTATTTTTTGAGTACTTTTTAGACATTAAACTCATTTAACCTGTACTACACCCCTCAGAGGAAGGTTTGGTTGTTACCCCCTCAAAAGATCTAGAATCTGAGGCACAGAGATATCACTACTCCGGATTTGACAGGAAGTGACTGAATTCATGCTGGTGGTCTGATTCCTAACTACTATGGTTACATATTTTTAAAAAACAATAAGATAACCTACAGTTTATTTAACTCAGAAAAAGGTTTCACTTCTCATTTCATCATCCAATTCTTATCCCGTTTCGTTTATTTGAGTTTTGGATACTTTTTGAGACATGCTTTTGGAAATGTAATACTATTATACTATTAGGGGAAGCCTACATGATACTAACGGGGCTTTTTTTTCTTCTGTTGACAGGGAAGCCTTATCATCATCAAAGCTAAAATTCCAACATATTGCTCTATATGTTGTTAATTCCAACATATTGCTCTATATGTTGTTGAAGAAGGGAGCTGACAGAAATCTTACTGCCTGGTGACAGGTGTTACACGCTGGCCGTGGATACCTGTGGGACCTTCTCAGTTCACTGCAGGCTATTCTTTTGTAAATCACAGCCACCATTCATTCTTTACTAGTTTCCGATGAATATGCACAATTCCACTGAATCATAGTAAGTTATTCCACAACAAAAAGAATGGTTAATAATGGAAAGGAATTTAAAAGGTTCTATAATAGGACAGTTTTGTGGGGTTTATTTTTCATATTTCTATGGTTTGTGTCAACAGCCATTATTGGGTTTATGGCAGTGATGGCGAACCTTTTGAGCTCGGCGTGTCAGCATTTTGAAAAACCCTAACTTAACTCTGGTGCCGTGTCACATATAGAAATTTTTTGATATTTGCAACCATAGTAAAACAAAGACTTATATTTTTGATATTTATTTTATATATTTAAATGCCATTTAACAAAGAAAAATCAACCAAAAAATGAGTTCGCGTGTCACCTCTGACACGCATGTCATAGGTTCGCCATCACTGGTTTATGGTATAAGCGTTTGTATTTATTTTCTAGTGCCTTTTGTTTATAACAGCCCTTTTGCAATCAGTTTGTAGCTGTATATTTACTTCTAGACATTTTGCCATTTCTGGATTTAATATTAAGGCTATAGAAATTTAAAATAGTGGACCTTTGTGAATTCACTATTAATTATTGTTTGTAAATATGTCTTTTATAATGTAGAATGCTTCCGAAATATCCAGAGTATTCTAGTTTAAAGATTTTTTTTTAATGTGCAAATTCTCTTATAAGTGTGTTATTTATTACAACTCATTAAAACTACCTAAACTTTAGGTGTCAATTGTATGTAAGCAAATGTTATTTTTGTATTTCATAGTCTGAATTCAGTACATGAAGAGTCAGAAAGTAAAATGATCAGTCTATGTAGTCAGAGATTTTGTTGTGCTTGCTTATGTTGAATTAATTAAATTTAAAAGGCTTTTGAAATTTACAGGTGTCGTCCTGGGTGTTGATGTAGTAGAAGCTGACTCTGGATCATCTATGAGAGGAAGGAGTAGAAGAGAAATAGAAAACGAGATTAAGACTTTCCCCCTCAAGGGCAAGAAGGGAGCCCATAGAAACGAGTCGTCGCACCAAATCTAAGCTGACTGATATTTCCGAAGAGGGGACATGAGGGGTCACTCTTATATAGGGGCAGCGATATCATATTCCAGAAGCATCAGAGGAAACCAATACCTGGAGTGACCTCTTTGCAGTCTCGCTTTAACTAGTCTCCAGCTATAATTGAAAAGAATGCAGGTAATTTCTGAAGCATCATAGTTGCAGAAGTGCTCGTCGTCCTTCGGATCTTGTGTGCTTCCTGGGTCCCTGCCTGGTACACTCTTTCCTCAGGTCGCACTTGTCACATCCTCAGGTAATATCAGCTACAACGTCTGCCTGCCCTGGCCTCTCTCTTACTCTCCCACATTGCACTCATTGCCACCCAAGCTAAAGATACCGACAATCTAGAAAATGCCATAAGCAAAAATACTGTTAATCTAGTCATTTTAAAATTTGTTGGAATAAAGACCTATAAGATACAGTAGAGTTATAAACATTTTATTTGCTTTATTTTCTCTTTTTGAAATACAAAATGTGCACATTGAGTTTACACAAATACGCGATGGCGAGTTTCAGTGTACATGTATTGTACTACTCTTAATTCTACACTGGTGATAGCAGGGCAGCTTTCCACATCCTATCTCTACACCAGAATAGATACCTGATTTATTGTTGCAAAGACAGTTGCAAGTTTCCTCCTACAGTAACCTCTTGGTCTTTGTGATATTTCTGCAAAACAGGGAAGGTGTGTGTATCTTTAGTAATGTTATGGCAACTTTTACAGTTTTGGCTTGAGAGTGTGAAAAAGAATCTGAATTATTGGAGTTGTATGATAAGCTAAATCATAACACCTTCCAAATGAGTTGCTTAGCACTTGATATGCATTTTCAACTAAATTTTGGAATTGGAGTTCTGGCTATAATGGAATCACTGGTGCTTTCAAAGTGACTTCTGCTTGCTGTTCCTTCCTAGCACGCATTGGAGTGGTCAGGTTTCTTTGCCCTGATGGCATGTAACATAAAGGTGCCATGAGGGAGTCCAGGGAGAAGATGCAATAGGTTTTCAGTGCGATTAAAATTACTCGTTAGCATTACCGGGGACTGGAGGACAGATGTCTGACCCTTCACATATACCTATAAACACCCTCACTGTCTTCCACCTTCTTGGGCTTCCACTTAGTGACAGTAGAATAAACAGCAACTTGTTGAATTAAGCAAATCCCAAATTATAAACATCATGTAGGCCTTGGCTTGATAAGTATTTATGAAAAATTAAAAAATGCTTATTAAATAAGCTATTCGGCATATGTGGACATCTGGTGATCAACTAATTTGTTTCATATTATTTAGAAAACCGCCAGATAAATGAATGTCTTTAACAGAAGGCAGCAAATCCATAGGAACTGTGACTGTTGCTTTCTTAAATCTTGGTAGTTTTGTTCACTTAAGTATATAGTGGAATTATAGCACACAAATACGAAAATTAATTTCTGGAAATTAAATGCAGATGCCAACATTTTAGAAAACCATTTAAAATCCTGGGGTTGAGTACATACAAATGAGTAGCAGAAAACAGTTTAAAGTCACTGATATTGTGAAAGCCTCAATAATCCCATGGCTAAAGTATCGATAAAACTATATGCCAGATTCTATTACTTTTGAATATCCACAGGGTGTGAAATGACTTAGACCATCCCATGAAATTTGCATTATGAAAAGGATGCAAATTTAAAAGTGGAGAACTCAAATCTTTTGGGGACTGTTTCATATGAAAACAAAGCTGGTTTGCATAATATGCCTCAGTGTCAAGCTGAGCAGTCTATGCTAAAAGTGGCAGCTCCCACTTGTGTGGTAGGATCATTCACATTTGTCTGAGGATGTATTTGACAAGTTAAATCACATTTTCAAAGAGCTGCATGGAGCGCATTATGTTTTCATCCTGTAAGGGAGAAACAGCGGGATTAAATTGAGCATATTTGCAAGGCAAGTACAGCAAACTCTCAACATCACTGATAGTTCCTGTGACGAAGCGAAATGATGTACAGGAAACCAATTCTCCCATAAGCTAATTAATATAAACAAGAGTTAAATCCTTATGGCATATCAACATTATAACAAAACGTTGAATGAATGACATTGAACAGAACGATGTTGAATGAACATGAACAACACTGTCTGAAATGATGTTATTCGAGGACCTGCTGCACACCATTTTCCCTCTAAGTACTGCCGTTTTTCAACTATGTGCTCCATATAGAAAACTGGAGAGCCCATTTTAGGTTTTGTTGAGTCTACCAGACCTTAAATAGTTCATTTAAATCACACTTGGTGTTGCCCTTGCAGGTTTGGCTCAGTGGGTAGAGCGTCAGCCTGCAGACTGAAGGGTCCCGGGCATGTACCTGGGTTGCAGGCTCCTGGTCCTGGTCAGGAGCATGTGGGAGGCAACCAACCAATGTGTGTCTCTCACGGTGTTTCTGTTTCTCCCTCTCCCTTCCACTCTCTCTAAAAAAATCAATGGAAAAAATATCCTCGGGTTAGGATTAAATCACACTTGGTGTTAATAGAGGATATTTCTCAAAGCGGATGCCAGAATGAAGAGTCAGAGGGTAAAACAAAGTAAAGAAATGCAAATTTTGACATTCCAGGTGGATCACAGACTTGAACACGTAGAAGGAAACAGGATTTGTATGAGTTAAGAGCCAACTTCGTGAGGACTGAAAGTTGGGGTTTGGGGATGTGTTGGCACTTGTTTCTGGATGTGTTAGAGCTAATTCTGTGTGGCCTTTAGGAGCCTTTAAAAACGAATGGCCTTGCCCTGGCTGGCTCAGTTGATTGAGCGTCATCCTGTGCACAAAGAGGTTGCTGGCTTGATGCCCGGTCAAGGGCACATACCTAGTTGTTAGGGGCCATGTGGAAGGCAGTCTGTTGATGTTTCTCTCTATCCCTCTCTCTCCCTTCTCTAAAAATCAATCAACTATTCTTTAAAAAAAAAAAATGGTCTCTCAACACCAGAGAAAGAATAGTTTGGGAAAAACCATTACCCGTTGGCTGTGTTGTTTTAGCACCGTGGTCGGCAAACCGCGGCTCGTGAGCCACATGCGGCTCTTTGGCCCTTTGAGTGTGGCTCTTCCACAAAATACCACGTGCGGGTGTGCACGTACAGTGCGATTGAAACTTCGTGGCCCATGAGCAGAAGTCGGTATTTTGTAGAAGAGACGGTATTTTGTGGAAGAGCCACACTCAAAGGGCCAAAGAGCCGCATGTGGCTCGCAAGCCGCGGTTTGCCGAGCCGCAGTTTGCCGACCACAAGTTTAGCATATTCCTTAGAAACATAAGGGTCAGACTTTGGGCATCTCAGGGGCACCTGGAGACTGTATGTGAATGGTGGTCAGTGAGCTTTTTCTTGTAGGGCAAATGGTCGCTGAACTAATGCTGACTTGCACTCCTAGAAGCCAGGCCACGACAGCAGCACTAAGCAGGTCGGTTCTCCCCAAGTCCACCAGCTTAAATATGAGTTTAGAAACAAGCAGGCGCCAGGGAAGGGGAAGTATATCAATTCATAAATAGAAAAGCTAAAGTACGACAAACGTCTTTGTCTATATTTATTTTTAAAATTGTGAATTGTGGTTCTAGCTAGCCACACACTGAGTCAGACTCCTAGGTAAGCTGAAACTGGCCTCCCGCCGGATGGCAGCCAGCCAGCCTGGTTTTCCCTCTGAATTTACAGCTCTTTATTTTTTGTGACTGAAGACCATTACTGCTCAGCCCAAAGCCATTCTTGTCCACATATATTAACACAATGATGTTTCTCTTAGAAATTGGCTGTAAGCCTGGCCTGTGTTGAATACTTAGCTGTCCTGGAATTCTAAAGCTGTGGAAATATGATTGACAATATACATGCTATAGGCTAGACCAGCCGTGGGCAAACTACCGCCCGCGGGCCGGATTCGGCCCGTTTGAAATGAATAAAACTAAAAAAAAAAAAAGACCGTACCCTTTTATGTAATGATGTTTACTTTGAATTTATATTAGTTCACACAAACACTCCATCCATGCTTTTGTTCCGGCCCTCCGGTCCAGATTAAGAACCCATTGTGGCCCTGAGTCAAAAAGTTTGCCCACCCCTGGGCTAGACTCTAAGCAAAGACCAATGTAAATCTGCCATATGCTTTATTGTCAATGATGAACACTCTCTAAAATATTTAGGGAACAAAACTCAGTCTCTGTGCGACTTTCGCATCTCCAGGGCTTACCTACACAGCCGTGGGCAATCTACAAATGCCGATCAATTCAACGTAGAAACTGGTGATTGTTTCAGGGCTTGGGCTGACCTCAGCTGTAAAAGTCGTAAACTGAGGCCTACAATCTTTATATTTTGCTCACTTCATGGTGGCTAGTTGGCAATACTCAGTCTAGCTGTTACAAAAGCAAAAATGGATGGTTCCTTTACTACTGTTACTTACTTTTTGGCAACTTTCGATGAACTCATCTATAGTAACAACTCCATCTTTATTTTTGTCCATTTTCTGTTCAGGAAGAAAAGAACAAAAACCTTTATTCAGACTTTCCCCATGATACCCTCACACCTTAACCAAATGAGCTGAAGATGAGAAACAACAACAACAAAAACAAGCCCTAGCTGGTTTGGCTCAGTGGATAGGGAGTTGGTCTATGAACTGAAGGGTCCCAGGTTCAGTTCTGGTCAAGGGCACATGCCTGGGTTGTGGGCTTGATCCCCAGTAGGAGGCATGGAGGAGGCAGCCGGTTAATGATTCTCTCTCATCATTCATGTTTCTCTCCTCCCTCTCTGAAATCAATAAAAATATATTTAAAAAAAACCAAAACCCACTGTTTGTTTATTGGGAGGAACTGCCTCAGAACAAACTAGTAATTTCCTAGCCATAGGAATCATCTGGCTGACTTCTTCGAGTCTAGGCTCTTCTTTGTCAACAGAATGTGGGGAAGATCTAGTCCCTGACCTAGGTAAAACCCTGCCTTCCAGCCATGCCAGAGCTCAGGTGATTTGCTGAAATGTTCAAAGTCTTAGTCTTCTCACCTGTAAAATGGGGCTAATAAGGATTTATAACCTCATAGGGTTCTCATGAGAACTGAATTAAAAAACAACAACACGTGAAACATGGCAATTGCTTAGTATTCTATCTAGGGTATTGTGAATGTTCAGTAGTTATCAGTATTATAATTATTCAAAACCAAAATTATTCAATTGTTAGGATGGTAAATATTCTATCATTTTATCCCTTTCAGGAAACGCTCTTTTACTTTACATTCTTTTGAATCATCATGACACTTTGAAAACAGAAAATGTTCTCTTAATTTCTGTTTCTCTCTGGCTTCCATATGCATTCCTACCTGGAAAAATGTCTCCACGTGTTGTCTGGGAGCGTCTTCTTTGAGGACCGGATATGTGCATTTACCCATCATGTCGTATATTGCTTTCATGATATCAAGCATCTCCTGAAAAGCCAAGGGCACACTTGTGAGGCTGCAAGCAAAGTGCAAGGAAACTACCCAGAAAGTCTAACGGGGAATTTCTACTCAATTTCAAATTTCTGATTTCTCTGTGATTCTTCATTAAATGCCTTTCAGTTGTGAGGAAAAGGCAACAGCTTTGTGCTTTAAAAGCAGCAGAATAAGAATGTAAGAATTATTTCTGACCATTTCAAAATGAAGTAAATTCTGACATATTGAACATGATCAGCAAAACCCTGGCTTAGCGTTTGGGTCTCTGTAAACTTCACATACACTACCTTCATTTTATTGAGTTATTATAGATCTTACATGTTTATTATCAATGTGTTTATTGAGAATAAAATATAACTCTGCATCACGAGAATTATACTAAAAAAAATCAAAGCTCATTAGGATTTTCATTGTTTTGTGTGTTTTTTTCCCTTCTATTATCGCTTTAACTGAGGAAATCACACATGTAAATAATCAAAATATTATGACTCTTGGACGCACCTTAAAATTTCATTATTATTTTATTAAAAGCTAGTTTTCAACTTATTTTCAATCTTAGTGAAAATAATATCTAATTATCTAGACATTCAGGTTTATTGTTTAATGTTTGTTTCCTTCATACTGAATTCTCCACATAAAAGGATCTGGATTAGGTTGATATAACATTTACTTTTGAGAGTATTCAATTCTATAATAAATGATAAGTAGTCTGTAGTTTATAAATCGTGGGTGAAACTTTTAAAGGTGTTCTGAGTTTAGAGAAGTAGTAAGAAGTTTGCTTGCCACAGGCAGAATTCATGAGATGTGTCACGTATAAGGAGCAAGAACATCATGTTTGTGTTAAACAAAGAAAGGGATAGAAAGGGGTTGGAGGACCAAGAGATACCTAATATTCCTGAGGCATCTGAGTACTAAATGCTTATTGGATACCAAATATACAAGAGGCACTAACTATCCAGGATATGCTCTGTATACACAGAAAATTAATATTCATGAGTTCTTAATGCAGCCACCCATCGATGAGAAACATCCTGGTTCCACGAGTCCTCTGCTCAGGAAACACAAATAAAAACTATGGCCATTGACCAGGCTAATTTTGTTGCAATAAGTGAAGTAAGATGCACTTGTCCCTTTATCTCTGGTAGAGCAAGTTCATGTCACTGACCCAGGATACCTTTCATTTGAGGGGCCTCTTGCTCAAATATCACCTCTGGGAAAAGCCAGTGAGCCAGAGAAAAAGACAGCACATAGAATATTGAGCCGTCCCAGGATTTAGGTAATGCGATCCTTCCACCTTACTTGCACCTTATCCTAAATTAGTTAACTTACCATACCCTTTCCCCTTGCTTCTCAGTGTGCTTTAAATTATTTTTAAATTCAAACCATTTGATTTGAATATCTTATTTGGTCTGTGAGCCTGAAGGATTTGGGAGGTCCCACCATTCCATGAGGTCATTTCCCACACCATAAAGGTCATCCAGGTCATCACACACACAACCTATGTGACTTTAAATTGCACCTGTTCCCATGTGGACCACATTATATGGGAGTTGGGGGGCGGGGGGAAGACGGGCAGGAGAGAGGTCCCAGGCCAAATTTTCTAACATGATTTGGAAACATTGTCTTCCTATCTGGTTCCAACCAGTCTATATTTCATTCATAATGTTTATTAAGATGCCATTGGGAAACAAGCGTATAATTCTTACATGTTTTAAATCTACTTTGCAGATTCACCATAAACTATTCCTATCCATTCCAGATTTTCTATTAGAATATTTCTCTACCACTACATGAACTATTTTAGATTTTCTGAAAGGGCTATTTTCAAATTAAAAATTGCAAATGTGTAATTAACATTTTGAAGTTAAAAATGAAAATATCCCAAAGGATAGTTGTTGGTGAGGTATTTCTTACTTCTTTAGTGATGTAGCCATCTTTGTTTATGTCATACAAATTAAATGCCCAGTTGAGTTTTTCTTGTACTGTCCCCCGGAGCAAAATGGAAAGACCCCTGATGAAATCCTAAAAAGAAATAAAAAATACAATTTGATATGACATTTCTAAAAAAGCCAAATACAATTCTCCCTTATATGATGGAAGCAAGGGTTACAACCCACTGGACTTTGAACCATTTATTTAGCAACATTATCTCTGTGTTCTTGGTTATTTCCTCTTTGTGAACATAATCCACTCCGTAGAGATAACATTCCCATCATCTAATTGAAAACTGTGACTTAAATCAATCTTGGAATTGGAAATTGTATCAGAACAGACACCCACAAACAGCAAGATGCATGCTAGAAGTGTTATTGGCTTTTCCCTGCAAGGGCATGCAATTCTTTCACTGAAAAACAAACAAACAACAACAACAACAAAAAACAACAACTAATAACACTGTATGTTTCAAAATACAAACACATGCATAACACCCTTCCCATGAAAAAGATCTGTTAACAAGATATGAGGACTGTCTTTAGAATGCAGGCCAATTGTGACCTGTATATAGAAATCAAGTTGTAATGTGCATGTGGGCAGTGGTTATGAGCATGGAGCTGGAAGCCAGACTGCCTGAATTCAAATGGAAGCTATGTCACTGGTTGGCTCTGTGTTCTCAAACAACATCCTGTTGTCTCAATTTTTATATCTGTGGAATGGAGATTATAGCATCTACCTCTTAAAGTTGAGGGTATATCTAGGGGTTGAGGTACAATTTCAGATCAACTTTGTCAGTTTTGTTATCGGGAAAGTTGGGGTAACTCTTTCCTCACTAAGTGCTGGAGGTGAGGCCATACCCATTCTGGCCAATGACCTCTGCCCGCAGCTGTGACTGACAGACAAGTACCTTTGCTAGTTCCCCCAACTTTACTGGGCATGCATTTGTCTATCTTTCCTTTGTCAAACCCCTGGGGAGTATAAAGCTTCAACTTCCTGGCAAAGTTGCCAAAATGACATGCCTATAATATTTGGCCTTCCCTTTGCTCTTTGCTATATTAATAACTAGTTAATTACAATGGCATCAATTTGACAAAGTGCTTGAGATGAGCTCAAGCACTTACCTCAGAGCTGTAGAGTCCCTTTCCCTTGTTCATGTCATTTTTGTCATTGAGCCTATTGGTTTCCTATTGCTGCTGCAACAAACTACCGCACTCAGTGGCTCTCAGGACTGGGTCAGGAGCCTCTTATTTGCCGTCATTAGCTGGAGTTTTCACCTCGGGCCAATTACACGGAAAGATCACTTAAGTCATAGATTAGAAGTGCACAAAATAGAAGCACCGCAAAGTTAACAGCTGTGAGACCCGGCTGGCACCTCTACCCATTAACCAAGAGGTCACAGATTTCCCATCAGGGCACATGCCCAGGTTGAGGGCTCGATACCCAGTAGGGGGCATGCAAGAGGCAGCTGATCAATGATTCTCATCCTTGATGTTTCTATCTCTCTCTCCCTCTCCTTCTCCCTTCCTCTCTGAAATCAATAAGAAAATATATTTTAAAAAAGATAACAGCTGTGAGTTTCAATGGGAAGAAATGCCTCCTCTTTAACAGATGAAAATTCAGCCTTCCAAACCCAAATCTGATGGAAGCATTTCTCCTGCCCAGGAGCTGCCAGCAACCAAGCGTCAGATTCATCCAGAATTCACCACCACGAGGAAACCCTAGAATCCTGGGTAAGTCTAGACGGTGTCCAGGTCTTAGCCACCCACCTGTCCTCTGAGCCCTGGCCGAGCATCCTCAGCTTCCCTGGCTCCACCCCCTGACCTCAGTCTGGCGGAGAAACCCTATTGGTCCGAGGAGAGGCCGGCCCTGCCCCACGGGCTCCCAGGTTCTGGAACATGGGCTCAGGGGGGTGCGGTTGGGGGGCCCTAGCTGCGCAGACAGAGCCTGCGGGCCTGCGACCACAGGAAGAGAACCACACACAGGGCTCCTTTGGCAACTCCAAACAACAGGTCCAAACACATACCCGAGGCTACACAATCCTCAACAACTCGGGCCTTTGTGCCATCCTGAAATGTCTTCCAGACGTTTCTACCTGCTTAAGTCCTGAGTACTGTCGCTCATCGCAGCCCCTGGGAAGTCGCTGCAAAGGAGTAGGGAAAGGCCTGGGACAAGAACAACACCCCAGAAAGGTGAGGGGAGCACACAGAAGAGAAGTCACTTGGACGGGGACGGGCCCTTAGGATGTTAGCATGCAAGGTTGCCTCCCTCTGACTAGGCCAGGGCCTGCCAAGCATTCGGTTCCCAGCTGTGCCCCTCACCGCTCCTCCCCACTTCTTACAAGGCAGCAGCTGAACCGGCCTAAGAGGACGTTTCTTTAATAATCCAGAGTTTCTGATTCATTAGGACTGGGGTCGAGTCCAAGAATTTACTTTTTTTAAAATTTTACCTAACAGGGTTTTATATTTTTATTTTTCTTATGAATGGAATTTTTTCAAATATACAATAACCATAGTTGTCATGCTATACATTACATCCCCATGCTTATTTAATTTATAACTGGAAGTTTGGCAAAAGCTATAAAGAATTTACATTTCTAACACATTGCTGGTCCTGGGATCACACTTTGAGAACCACTGGCCTATAAGAATCAGCATCAGTACTGACCCTGTCACCAACCGCAGCAGACCCCAGTGGTGAGGAATGATTTAAAGACAGCACTTTAAACATATCTCCTATATAATAAAAGGCTAATATGCAAATAGACCAAACAGTGGACCAACCCAACAATCAATCGCTATGACGTGCACTGACCACCAGGGGGCGCATGTGGAACATGGCAAGCATCAGCAGCAGGCGGCAGAGCACAGAACATGCAGGGCATCAGCCACATTGAGATGGTGGAACAGGTGAGCAGGGGCGCCAGACCTAGGCGAAGTGCCAGTCACTGTCATCAGGGCGAGCCTCTGGTGGTTACTGAAAATTCTTTGCTCCTACATGCCACAGTCCAGCACAACGCTTGCACCGGCTCACCGGCTGCTGGCACCCGCCGCCAGTCCCGATTGCTCAGCACTATCAGCAGGTGCAAGTGGCAGCTGCCAGCCGCGATCGCCCCTAAGGGCTTCTCCAACACCCCCTGCTCCTGAGGGGCAATCGGGGCAGCAGCCGCCATTCGTACCCACTGCTGACTCCGGCCCCAATCGATCCACGCTGGCAGCGGGAGTGAGCAGGGCCGGTGCTGTCAGTGCGTGGGAGTGGTGGCGGCAGATGGGATGCTGGCAGACAAGTGACCAGGGCTGCATCAGGAGGAGCCAGGAGTGGGTGCGGAGGATGGGCCGAGACCCGCCCCTGTGTCCATCGCAGCCTTGCGGCCCACAGTTCTTTTCAAGGTGCACAAATTCGTGCACTGGACCCCTAGTGTGTATATATATATATTTGATTTCACAGAGGAAGGGAGAGGGAGAGAGATAGGAACATCAATTATGAGAGAGAATAATTGATTGGCTGCCTCCTACACACCCCACAGGGCATTAAGCCTGTAACCCCAACCGTGCATGTGTCCTGCTGGGAATCAAACTGTGCTCTCCTGGTTCATGGGTCGAGGCTCAATCACTGAGCAACATTGGCTGGGCAAAGACAGCACTTTTAAAGTTACCTGTGGGTTTTTCTTGTTTGCCTGCTTAGTAGGTCCTTCATTTCCTCAACCAGTTCTGCAGAAGCACTTTAATTTTGGCTCTAGTGATGGGTAAAGTTAGGAAGTGGTTTATCCATTTGGTCAGGGCACTTGGATCTGCACTTGGCATGTGGCTGACCCCAGTCCACATCTGAGTTCTCAGGGCTCCCGCTAGGAATGGTGGGACGAAGATGCTGTCCCTTCTCTGCCCCACAGAAACAATCAAGCTGGGAGCCCAGGAGCTGCCTACATCTTCTTGTGACCTTTATGCTGTAGCCAGCACTACCTTTGGACTTTTTGTCCCTGGGAGCCAATAGAGCCATCACACTGTTTTTGTTAGTGTGTAGTTTTCTATTATTTGTGACCATCTAAATCACATCTTCTTAAATACTATGTAATCGGAAACTACTACCATTAAAAGATAGCTATGGACCTTGAGTAACCCTCTCTCTTATAACGTGCCATCTTTCAGGATAATATCAATAATGGTTATTTCAAAAAGGAATGATCCCTGATTTGTGATAAAGAAAATGAGAAAGTCAGTGTGTCCTACATCGTTTTTATTCCATGCTTTTCTGAATGATTGAAATCTGTCAAGCAGGAATTGCAAGATTAAACACACACACACACACACACACACACACACACACACTCACACACACACATACATAACTCTCAAGAGTACTTTACACAATTATCCTACTTTTATCTGTGAAAAAAAAATGTTGCACCTATTCCCTAATTTATAAAAATGATAAGGAGATGGGTACTGAATTCTGGTTTCTCTTCTCTTATGATCAAGCAAAAGAAAGAAAAGGGATTAGAGACTTACTTTATGATAACCTAGTCTTATTCGGTACAAGCTCTATTGACCTATAAACCTTTACATGGTGCCTTAGTGCTGGTTACTATGCCAAGAACGTTAGTCCTCTTTTCTCCCACCTGCATTTGGAAGCATTTGCCAGAAATAGTTCTGTTTACAGATGGAAAACAACGTTAAATAACCTGCCAAATGTTCAAAAGGTTAACTTAGCTAGGTAGAGGCAGACTTAATAGGGAGAGTTAGACATGTGTTTAGTATATTACTTTTTTATGCTTGTTTACATAGTTTCATAAACTACTTTAAGGTTGTTAATTTTCTCTGGTGTGACCTCCCTTTGTTTGGGGTTGAACTTCCACAGTAATTGAGCTACTCTTTAAAGTCTTTGAGAGATACAATTTGGGGCACTACCTAAAATTTCCATTTGTTTGGAATGAATAAAAGGCATCAGAGTGTCTAAAAAATAGTAAGTATATTTTCCAAGATTTGTAGCTTGATGTTATCATGTAAAAGAGATAATGTACTTATCTTGATTGATGTGCAATACGGTCTATTGGGGTAATTTAATGTCTTGATAAATAATTGTAGCCCTAATTC